GAGGCTTGAAAGGCAATATATTGCTAATTAGCTGGTGAAAAAAATTGAAATCTTACTGTTATGAGTTGTTATTACTATGAGTAAAATATTGTCACCTTCAATGTTGTTGTTTTTTTTTTTTTCAGTGTACCTTGATATGGCGAAGCCAGTTATCCGTCTCCAAAACCCCAATGCTCCACCGGGTCGTCAGCAGGCTTTATTGGTGGCGACAAATGAGGCCCGTGCCTACAGAGACAGAAGAATGAATTTTCCTCTACCCCCTGATCAGCTGCTCAATGAGTCCACTGCCCTACCCCATGCCCAAAGGGCCCTTCGTGCTGAAGGCATTGCAGTACCATCACGACAGCAGTGTCTGGGGAAGCTGGTGCTACCCTTGGGCCAATATCTCAATGCCCCATTTCCCTGGCTTGTGTCAAATGATGTGGGCTACATGAAGTAGTAAGCGTATTCTATATAAAGTTTTTTACAGAAGTCATAATTTAAAAAAGATGCTGATAGCAAATAATCTCTCTGAATATTTATAGAAGTATATGGTTGTTATCGCTGTGTAGTCTATTATTTTTTTTGTCTTTGTAAAGTTTAGGTGCTAATTTTGCAACTGATGCATGTAATTGCAGTTTGATCGACAAGCACAGAGAAGAACTCTCTAAAAAACCTGGAAAGGCAAAAGTACAAAATCAATGGATAAAAGACCATCTGGCAGAGTACGCAGAGAGCTTTCCAGAAGTATCAATCATCCTGGAGGCGAACATCCACCGATATGTTTATGGACAAAAGGGTTTCGAGAACCATACCTTTCAGGAGATGTGGGAGCTCTATAGCCTATATTCTGCACAGAAGGACAGGCCAGATGATTTTAATATGAGCCAGAGGGATTCAATACAGAAGGCATACAGCTCTGTCAGCCGGTGGCTAAATACACCTGTAACCCACATCACCAGTGTGCAGATGAAAAGATTTAGGACATACATTTATGACAAGAAGAGTCAAGTAAGTCGTCTGAATCACAAACCGTATTCCCACAACATTAAATTAATGTTTTCAGCACATACAGCACATTATATCTTTCATGATAAAAAAAAAAAGTTAATCAGAATGTTATTATTTACATTTGTTATACAGATGTCGAGCTCTTCCATCAGTGACCCCTCATGGCTGGATGACACCCACTTATTGGAGGTGATCGAATCGGAGTCCACGGCTTCCACAGCATCATCCTCATTCACAACTACATACAATCCTCCTCGTCCACAGCATCATCAGCAGCCCCAGCGGCAGCCACAGCGTCATCCGCAGCCACATCCACACCTTCAAAGAAGTCCTCATCCACACCTTCAAATAAATCCTCATCCACAGCATCATCAGCAGCCACAGCGTCATCCGCAGCCTCATCCACACCTTCAAAGAAGTCCTCATCCACACCTTCAAAGA